CCCGAAGCATTCCTCCACTTCAACCAAAATAATTTTTATAGTAGAATGTTGAGGGAACAATTATAAGAATAACTTGGAAGAAAATAACCACTAAGCTTCTAAAAACAGCTAGGCTGCTTCTTATTTCCAGCAGAAAGATGCAATCAATTACCTAATCCACCTAAACAATAGATTGCTCAATATTAATTGTTGCCATATCATGTGAGAATTTACATTGTATAAGGTTTCCTATAACCTAACAAAGCAGGACGAGAAGCATCTAAGCCATGATGTCCAGATTTAATATGGTTTTATTGTTCCTATAGCACAGACATGATCCGAGTCTGTTGTTTAATATACAACTGCACCGTTAAACTTCATTAAAGTAATGCACTCATGATTGGGATGCAATAGAAGGAATTAATTAAATGAATTTGCACAAATTACAAACATTCAATGGTTAAGCTTAGCATGTGCAAAAGGTAATTTCAATTTCATATATTCTACCGAATTTTAGCCTTTTTCTGTTATAGCAAACATTCCTCTATATATATTAGTTAAATTGGCAAAAACAATATACACACATATATATATGTATATATATATATACTAAATCATTTTGATATTAAATGATATTTTCTGAGGAAATATAGATAGCAAATACATTAAGGAATGATGGTACATTTGTTGTATTAGAAAGAAAGTTTATTGACTTGGTATTATATAAAAAATCTCACACACTAATAAGTTAAGAGTAGTTCACGAGATATGATGATTTATGTTGTTGAAAAACTATGAGGCATAGCTAAATTGAAAAGATTTCATTATTCAGAGTCATATATTTTAAAGTCACATATGCTTTTAGATAAATTTTTTTAAGAAGAATTAGCTAAACTCTCTAAATTTGCTTAAATCTATATCTAAAAGATCTATATCTAAAAGCCCATACTTAGAATGCATCACCAACACCATTTGCATGTAAATTTAAGCTTGATTATAAAATGTTTTTCAGAATAAAACTTGGATACACATAAAGATGTACACTTGAAAAAATACATGGATACATAAAGATGGAAAAAATACATGGGTGTCTTGCTTCAATTTCTACTCATAAATTTTGAATGGTTTTATAGTAGCTTTTTTTATGACTTAAAGTAAACATTAAGTAGTTTGCGAGAAGGCTTTTATTGTGGGCATATGAAACATAAAGATGCAAAATACTTCATTTCATGCAAATATATCAGTTTTATAATGTTAACTTTTTCATGGACTAATATGACCTTTAGTACTCCTATGATTTTTTAAATTTCAAGAAGAGATAAAATAAGAAAATGTCCATATCGTTCTAGGGTATAAGACACCTACTTTAAATGAGATCTAATTAGGGGTGTCGAGGTTTAAACTTTATACAATGAGGTTTCAACAATTCACATTTGGATTAATGAAATTTCAAGTTTAGTGTCATTAGTTCAAAAATACTCATAGTGAGGCTTCAAACTATTGTGTGAGATGTATGATTAAAACATTGAAACCGATTCAATAGACCTAAAACAAAACTTTGAACATAAGCAGACAAAGAAGGAAAAAAAAAAAGAACATAAAGATAACATGGAAGATCCCAAGGGAAAAAGCACGGAGCCACATCACTCAAGCCTATCTAATTTCTATTTACTCATAATTTCTTTGAGTATTTATCGATTTTTTTTATATTGGATGGTTGTTGGTAATGATAATTTGATTTCTTGTGTATGTTGGTCTGCTCTACCTGGTCGTTTTACTTCTCATGGTGCTTAATTTTTTGCCCTTGATATCATTCCACACTCACCACAACAAAAGAAAATATTATATCCAAATCTATCTATAGCAATGCCACAATCCTACTCAAAAGACCAATAAAATACATGGAAAGCAAAATTAGGGAGAGAAAAAAGAGAGGAGCAACGTGGCCGTAGAATTTCACTAATATAGATTTTTATATAAAAGAAATCCTACAAAATTTGCCCTCTAACTATGTATTTATATGATTTTAGGCATTACAGGCAAAGTAACATAAAAATTAAAAATATTCTAAATTACTTGAGACATATAGCCAAAAAATTAAAGAAATATACATGGACAATTTACGGGTGTAGTTGACTAGTGGAATTTTGATCTAGATGACCGAGGATAAGTAGAAGTTGAGTTGTTTTGTGAAACCCCTCAAGTAAAATGAAAATGAACTCTTAAACATCAGAGTTTTTTGTATAATGGGAGAGCACTTCTGGGATGGGCGGTCTCTTAGGAAGTTACACCAATTGGGATGAAATCATAAGGCTACTTGGCAAAAGAAAACAATATCATGATGAGTGATAGCTTGGGCTGTTGCAAATGGTATCAGAGCATTACAACAACTTAATGAATAGGAACAAAATGTCATAAAGAACAAAATGCTATGTCATCGAATGCATCTTTTGAATCCAAATGCGAAAAAGTGCTACAGGTGGAAAGCACCTCTTGAATCTATAGGGGGCCACCTCTAAAATCATATATATCCGGTGGATGATCCTTTGTTGAGACTACTGACAAGTACACCAATTACTCAAGTGCGGAAGATTGTTGTGAAACCCCTAAAGTAAAATGAATTTAAACTTTTAAGCACCGAGGTGTCTTTTGATGCAATAGTGAAATTTTGAGAGAAACTCCAAAGTAAAGCAAAATCATGAGGTCATTAGGCCAAAGCAGACAATATGTTGATGGGTGAGAGTTCTAGTTGTTACATTAGCAACCCCTACTGGTAGGTACAAATGACTCCAAGAGAAAATCAAGCAAAAATCTCCACAAGTTGGGTGAATTTATTTTTAAGCTTTAAAGAGTTGCCAAGATCTTTAGCATTATCTATGATGGCCTCAAATTAATTCTGCTGCTAGCACCCGATAACTCAAGCAAGACCCATTTTGCTGAGTGAGTTCAAGTTGGCACATATTAGTTTCTTATGGATTGTCATAAATTTTTTCCTTTTCATTTTAGTTAGCCAAGGTCTTATATATTAATTTTGTATAATTTATAACAAATATTTATAATATTTAGAGTATATAATAGCCATCATGCCAAGAAGGCAAAGGATGTGCATTAACTTCGTGTTTTCCTTAACATAATAATATTTGACGTCCATATAATAATTTTCCAATAGCTCCACCAACTTCTCTATACCAAATTTTGGCCCTTCTAAGTAATGATGCACTTCCTGCTACACCTCATACCCCAGTTGCAAGTAAAAAGCTCCACTCTAATGTCTTACAAAAAGTGATCAAATCACGTGAGGAAAGATGTTAGGCCCTAATACCAAGACATAACTAAAGTCTTCCTTTCATTTGGCTTGAGTTATGAGGATACATGGGTGATTGCTTGGTCATGACACATTAGCATAAAATATAGCATACATTGGGAGGTGTCACTGCATAATTGAAATTTCATGCACTTATAAAGTATGGCAATTATTAGTAGCATAATAAAGTATAGTGATTTAGTCATTAGAAACTACAGTCATAGTCATCAATCCACACAAGCTTTATTGCTTTATAAGTAAACTGGGATATTGGCATCACCTTTTGTGAAAAACAGGTGTAAAGCATTGACAATGTGAGAAGTTCAAGCAAGCTAAAAAATTCTCACTTTCATTTGCTTATAGTCAATCAATTTTGACAACAATATTAAAAAAGTCTACCAATATGCTATCAATATTTTTTTGTACAATGTTTGATTCCTTAGATTTACTATCATGGATTACCCAAACTCATATTCATGGTATCATATCATTCTTTTATTGCATATCGATTTGAAAAGTCAAGTCAAAGAAATTTCTTCAAATCCTAAAATCAACTAGAAAATGCTACCTATTAGTTTAATTGAACCCTATTTATATTTTTTTAGAGATATATTTATGTCCTTACCAACTTATTAATATTTATCCAAAAACAAAAAATGACATCAAAACCTTCTTTGAATTAAAAATCAAACAAGAGATGTTAAAGCAACAAAGTCGACGGAGCACGGAAATTACTTTTAAACTTTTTGGAAAAAAAAACACATTGAATTTTTACTACTAGAAACATCAAATAGTTGGGTTCATTAATAAACATCTAAATACATATAGTCAATTTACTAGAAAGAAGTGTAAATAAAATTTAAATAAATTTAAATGTTTACAATATCAAAAATTTTACCAAGTAATTATGTCAACTTGATGGATCCAATAAACACGTGCCTATATCCTACTTCTTTTAATACATGAAAGTGAGTGTTTATAGATAAACTCACAACAGCAACAAGAAGAATAAACCTTTATCCCACTAAGTGTGGGCGGCTACATGTATTATTTTTCTCCATTGTGTCCTGTAGAGTGCCATATTTCCATTTAATTTCAATAAATTAGGATCATCCTTCAAATAACAATCTACACAATAATGAGTTGACGCCAAAATTCAAATTGCTCACCAGCAATTAAACTTACAAGCTCACATGCAGCGCATATCATATGCAATGAGAAATATGGCTCAAAGCTGGCAAATACCTCTCTTCTGATTTTCCATAAACAATTCAATTAGCACAAGCCTGCCTTAATCCCAATTCTGGTGGACTATCTATATTCATTCTTCACAACATTCATGCATCATAACATGCCTTCCACACTCAAAAACAAATATTATATTTTCACTCGGAGGGACCCAAGGCATGATTTCTTCTACTATATCTTAACAGTGCAATTTAAGCACCAATTTCAGCTATGCTTATTAGCTGTCAAAAGAAAGCTCATTGTTCACAAGCTAGTGTCGGCTGGCTAAGTAGCACATGCTTAACACATTTATTAAAAAACCAAAAATCTCAATGTGAAGAGTGCGCTAGCAGAAATGCCAAGCCTAGCGCTAGACCAAAAAATCCCATGACTATTTGATCCTATAATAGGGGAGAGTTTTACTTAGAGCACTGGAGATGAGTGTTAGATTAATCAATGGACACCAGAAAAGGAACTCTATCAAAAAGCATTCTGTAAAGATTCAGTAATGTACGACGGTTTTTTTCCTTTCTCTTACTTTCAATGTGAATTATGTACAATTAACTTTTCCATGATGAATGAAAAGCTACAATGTGAATCACAGTAAAATGTCAACCTGTTTTACAGAGCTGTTATCAGCTAAGAAAAAGTTTTAAGCATCATAGCAGTAACTGCTTTAGTTGCTCTTACGTTTTGCATTGCCCATGCAGGAAACCTGAATAATCATGGACCAGAATTCAATAAAACTATGAAACATGTCCATATGATATAATATAAAACGGTACTCGGCACTTACTATGTGTGATTTCCATTCTGCTTTATTACCACGCACCTCGTTACAAGTAGAATGAGGCTGGTTATAGATGCAATGAAATATGTGAACAAGCACAGCAGCATCAAGGGCCGCATATTCCATCTGCATTTTTACAATTTGAAATAGTCGTTAAAACGATAATTTGGACTTCAAAAAGCGAAAAAAATACAAAAAAAAACATGATTATTTAAAAAAAAAAAACAGAACTTGAATAAGTGGTTTGCTTCATTATGTTTGATAATAATATAAACGTCAAAGTAAACATGGTCACTACTGTACTCAGGAAAGAAACTAATGAATTGAAACAATATTGTTGGAGACATTTTAAGGATTACAAAGGTAAAGTTGTATGTCAGAAACCTGGTTTTGACTTAAAGGCCGTTGCTCCCAATTGCTATTCCTCCTTGTCTTGTTCAAACCAGCTCCCAGTACTTTCTGGTCAAGGACAATATTTAATCAATTGTCAATATAATAATGAAATTACTTGCCCATCTGTGATCAGGTGAATGGCAGTTTAAATGCAGTACGAGAGCAGATGAAGCAACAAATTGCATCAGAAAAAAAAAATACTAATATAAAGTGGAAAATTATATGCTATGAATGCACCTCCGCTAACCCAGAAAGTCCACCACCAGACTCCCTAAATAATTTCTGAACGTCAAGTAACATTTCATAGTATCTAAAACAGTCCAGATCTCCATAAGATTGTGAAAGTTGATAAAGATCACATTGCAGGTTATAGCCTGAATAGAGAAATGGGAAGAGGGTGCATCTCATGCATTTAGATTTTAATCAGGAGAGAACTGGTTTAATATGATGACTGCAATTTGAAATGTCATACCTAATTTCAAGATGTTGGGAGAGCACAGAATGTTCTTAAAACACCTGTCTAGTTCAATTGGTACATCTTGATGCAACTTTATTAAGTCAAAAATATATGCTCGGTTCTCTGAAGCAATCTGCATTATGGCAACCTGGCACACGAGACACAAAATTGAACAGTAACATCACAGCTTCATGTAAAAAATAATAGAAAAAAAATAACGGGTTAAAGATCAAGATAGAAAGCAAGAAGCATTGAACACAGCAGCAGAAATGTGTCAAATTTAAGGTAACGTTCATTTTCAAAATGTGCAAATACTTACAGTTAAAATATATATATATATATATATATATAGAGAGAGAGAGAGAGAGAGAGAGAGAGAGAGAGAGAGAGAGAGCGCGCGAGGCAGGGAGGGAGGGTGATAACAGTCGACAGCCATAATATTCATATGATATTCAGTTGTAGGAGGCAGTAACTAGTAGAAACAGTAAATGTAACTTGGAACTCATAGGGGTTTTAGGAGACTCCAAGCACACAAAAATATGAAAAGCTTGCATAAAAATAATCAAAATAAAAAACAATACAGGACCTTAAAAGGCTACACCAAGGGTCACACCAACAGAGCAGAGCCTAAAAGAAAGCCAAATTCTGAGCAGTGTGATACACCAAAATAATATGTTGTTTTAAGAATATATTTTACATTTATTTTTTATGATATTGTACTTTAAAGAAGAGTATTTTCATGTTTTTGTTGCAGATATATCAATTTTAGGCATTTGGAGCAAAAATAACAAAAAAGACGAAATTTGGAGTCAAAACAACAAAATTTCAAACTATGGCGCATGATACGCCAGATGCGCCGAATCGGCGCCAGATGCCCCAAAGCCCAAAACAGCGTGGTCTTCAGCAAACTGACGCATGATATGTTAGATGGGCACCAGATGCGACATTTGACATAGAGTTGGCGCATGATGCGTTAGATGCGACTTTTTGCGGATTAAGGCGGTTCGAGACAAATTTTGCTTGAATTTTCAAAGGAAAACTTGTTCTAAACACCCCTTGGAGTAATTCAATGCAATTAGACACTTTAGAAGATTTTTTTATGAAGGGATATGTCTCTTGGATCAATAGACATATCAATTGAATTTAAAAGAGTTGACTTTTGGATAGAATTTTGGAAAAAATTTTGAATTCTTTTAGAAGAGTCTTGAAGAAGAGTCGAAAGAGGAAGCAAATAGAGGTGTGTGGCGTGAGTTAGAGAGAGAGAGAAAGTCAATTTCTTGGAGATTTTCTTCAAGGATTGTAAGAGGAGAGGGAAAGTGAGAGATTTCTTCTTTCATTACACTTCTAAGAGAGAATTGAGAGTGCTTGTAAAGAGAGAAAAACTTGGAGAGAACTTCTAGGAGTTTGTTTGGGAAGGATTGTGAGTTAAATTGCGTCTTTTAATTTGAGTTAGAAGAGAGACTTGAAGAAGAGTCTAAAGAGGAGGCAAATAGAGGTGTGTGGCGTGAGTTAGAGAGACAGAGAGAAAGTCAACTGCTTGGAGATTTTCTTCAACAATTGTAACAGGAGAGAGAAAGTGAGAGATTTCTTCTTTCATTACACTTCTAAGAGAGAATTGAGAGTGCTTGTAAAGAGAGAAAAACTTGGAGAGAACTTCTAGAGAGAACTTGAGAGAACTTCTAGGAGTTTGTTTGGGAAGGATTGTGAGTTAATTTTTGTCTTTTATGTCTTTTATTTTGTAAACTTATTTTTATTAATGAATTTTATATTTTGTCGTATCCTTCTCATGCATTCTGAATAGTCTTCTTTATCCTTCTCCCTACTTTAAAATATTGTTTTGTGAAAAATTGATTTTGTTTTATATGATTTTAAATGTCAATAATTTGTGATGATTCGAACTTTGATCTTCATTTCCTTCTCATGAATTCTGAGTAGTCTTCTTTATCCTCTCCCTACTTTGAAATATTGTTTTGTAAAGAATTGATTTTGTTTTATATGATTTTAAATGTCAATAATTTGTGATGATTCGAACTTTGATCTTCATTTATTTTTCGATCTGGCCAATTGAAATATTAAAATGTGTTGAGAAATGCATATTCCGAAATGACTATGATTTCTACAACATAGTGAGAGTCACATTTGATTTCGTGTGAGAGAATTTTATCAATGGAATTGAGTGCAAATAAATAGGGAAATATATCTTTGTTGGATGAAGAATTGAAAATTTTAAGGTGACAGATTAAAATCACCAATTTGGTCCCATTGATTGGAAACTGATGCGAGATTGTTAGCCCTCAGGGGAGGGAGTAGTGGGAGTTCTGGAGTGACAGTCAATATCGTCTTAGCCTAATCACGGAATTAGGGATCAAACTTTGGATTAATCAATGTTCTTTATGCACTTGGAAGAAGATAAAAAATATGATTGCTTCTATTTGACACAAAACATTTTTTATACATTTTTCAAATAATTTTAATTTCTTCACAAATCATATACTCATTGTAAAGGGATGGATGATTTCTTAAATTTGAACTTTCCGTCATAACATCTTAGTTTTAATTTTAGTAATTTTATTTTTGAAAGTTTAACATTTAGTTTAGTTAACTTTATCTTTCAACTGCATTTTAATTAGCATTCATTTGTTACTTAGTATTCAAACTTTGCACTTTACTTTTCGTATTTATAAAATAGTACTTTACATTATAATTTTATAAACTTATTTACAAACATTTCCAACTTCCTTCTGGGATCTATATATAAGACTCCATTAGAGCCCTTTATTACTTGAGTGATACGTATACTTACGTTATTTTTAAAGAGAATTTGACAGTTTAAGGGTTACTAAAAGATAAAACTATTTTCATTTAAGTCATTTTGTTGGAATTAATTTGCATATTTGCAATTGTATCTACCGTGTGTATTTTATAGTATTAAAAAATATTTGCAAAATTAACACATTAAATCCACCCGCATCAGGTTTTTGGCGCCGTTGTAGGGCAAGTAACGAAAAGTAGTAGAAAGTTATTTTTTATTTATTTTATAGTATTTTTATTTTAAAAACTAAAAAAAGAGTTTTTGTAGTTTATTTTAAATATTTTCTTATTTAAGCGTGTTTACTTATTTTTAAATTACTTGTATTTGTTTATGCGTAGTGTAAAATCCAAAAAATTAGTACCTTACAATTTTGAGTTAAATAGAACAATTAGAAAAATTCAAAAACAACAAAAAGGGATGACCATATTAGCAAAATGACTTGCAATTTGAGTAATGTTGGAAATGAAAATGAACATCATCAGAGACCTTTAAAAGATTATGTTAATCCTACAGCAGATGAGATTCATTTAAGTATACAAAACTTTGTTGCAGCTGTCAATTCATTTGAGATTAAACCTGTTATTATCCAAATGGTTCAAAACAATCAGTTTGGAGGAACATCAATTGAAGATCATAATTTACACCTTGCTAGTTTTCTAGAATTATGTGCTACATTTAAATATGATAGTGTCAAATGATGTTGTCAGACTTAAATTTTTTCCTTTTTCACTAAGGGATAAAACTAAGATGTGGTGAAACTCGTTAGCACATGAATCTATCAGAACTTGGGGAGATTTATCAATAAAATTTTTATCTAAATATTTATCATATTAAAAAACTGATAAGCTTAGCAATGATATTACATCATTTTGTCAGTTTGAAGGAGAATCAATTTATGAAGTCTGAGAAAGATTTAAAAATCTCCTTAGAAAGTGTCCAGACCATGTGTTGTCAGATTGGTTAATAATTCAAATTTTTTATAATTGATTGGTTGGATCTCTTAGATTTGGATCTCTTAGATCGGTTGGATCTCTTAGATCGATAATTGACGCTGCTGCTGGTGGATCATTAATGTCAAAATCATTCGATTAAGCATATTTTTTAATTGAAAAGATGCCTACTAGTAATTTTCAATGATCATCTGAAAGATTAAATCCAAAAAGGTAGTCAGTATTCATGATTTTGATGCAATATCTATATTAGCTGCACAAATAGTTGTTATATCGAAGAAGATTGATCAATATGGAATGTGATCAATATGGAATGAATTGGAATGAATTATTCTCAGACATCACTTGTGCTTGAGGAAAATTCATTGGGACAAATGATAGAATCACATTCTTATGAGACCTTAAATGCAATAAATAATCGTTCTAATAATCTTTATGAAAATTATTATAATCCTAGATCGAAGAATCATTCAAATTTTAGTTTGAGTAATAATAATTCTAATACTGCAAATCTGCAATGGGGAAACAACAATGCTGCGAACCCAGGGGAAACAATGCTGCGAACCCATTGGGAAACTCCAACAATAAAGGAAATCTAACTTATAAACCTTATTACCCTCCATAATTTAATAATTTGCAGAGTAAGAAGAAAAGTTATCAATGAAAGAATTGATATTGCAAATAGGGAGTCAAATTACGAGTCAAATTACAAAGTTAAGGAACTGCAATTAGAAACATGGAAAATCAATTGGGATTAATTGCTACTGCAATTACTGCACTTAGCAATAGACCTCCAGGAACATTGTCTTTAAGTAAATCCTAAAGATCAGAACAAAGAGTAAATTAAGGCTATTCAACTTAACAGTGGAAAAGAATTGAAAAACAGAGTTAAAAAGGAAGTGGAAGTTGAAGTTGAAAAAGATGAGGTGGAAAATGAAAAATCTGGTGAAGATCTTCATTTTGAATCAGAATGTCCTATTAAACCAATGAAAATCACTTTTGAAATACCACAACGTTCATTTCCTCAAAGATTGAAGCAGAAAAATAGAGAACCAATTTTCTAAACTTTTAAAAATATTGAGAAAATTAACAATAAACATTCCATTTGTTGAAGCCTTGAAACAAATGCAAGCTATGTGAAGTTCATGAAGGATATACTTAATAAAAAAAATGAAGTTTTTAGATAATGAGACTGTTGGTGAAGAGTATAGCACTATAATTCAAAAAAAGCTTTCTGAAAAACTCAAATATTCTGGAAGTTTTACAATTCCTTGTGCTATTGGCGAAAGATTTTTTGGAAAAACTTTATGTGATTTAGGAGTCAGTATTACTGCTATTAATTTTCAGAAGGTTGGGCTTAAGAGATATTTCACCTACGACTGTAAC